AGCCTCTCCCCTGGAGGAAGGCTGTCAGCGGTGGGTGCTGGCTATATGTTCTGGATGCAGCGGCCCATGGCAACCAACATGGGTCAAAGTCACCAGCTGCTCAGGTCTTGCTCTTGAAGGGGAGCAGGTTTACCACTCCAAGAGATGCCTCTTTGGGATACTGATTATTTTCAGTTACCGTTATTTTGCTGCGTGTAATGCACACCTACATTTGGGGCCCAAACCTTCCGGAAAAAAATATTTCTTTTTAATTCAATTGCTTTATTTATTTACATTTAGATACTTTTTTTGTATTATAAAGGGATTTAGCATTACTTTTGAACATATTCTGGTATAAGAAATTTTATGCAACAAATAATTACAAAACACAAGAATAGATACAAGGTATGCCAGATACTACTCATGTGTAATGCGCATCCTTATTTTTCCCTCAAAAATGTGGGCGAAATGCGCATTATGCACGGCAAAATACGGAAACAGCAAATGTGGGAGAAGCTCTGAAAACATGGAGGCTGTCTCTGGTAAAAGGACATCGACAGGTGTAAGGGAAATCTCCACTGGTTGGTGTCCCCCTCACTGTGCCAGGCCTGCTTCTGCATTCCACGGAGCAGGCGGGGCCTACATCTGCATGACAACCGCTCCCGGGTAGTGCCCGGCTTACCAGGTGACCTCCCGTAACTGCCCCTCCACCCCTAACACCTGCCTTCATCTTTAGCTGAGGGCGGTATTTAAGGTGATGGCTTTTACCATTTGGGGGAGTAGCCCAGTGCTGCTGGGTCTCTCTCACGCATACAGAAAGTACACATATGATTAAACTTTACTTTGTTTTTCTCCTACTCATTTGTCTCATGTTAATTTGATTATTGGTCCAATCAGAAGAACCTTAAAGGACAGAGAATAATTTTCCCTCCCAGACATCTCTTTTAAGTGGTCCCTCTCCTCACAAACATCCGTGGGAGCCATCCTGCCCCCCCAAAGGACCAGCCACCAGGAGCAGAGACAGAGGAGCAGGCAGAGGATTAACTCTAACACAACTACAAAAACCATCCAAGTAAAATATTACTTGTAGAATCTAACAGGTGGGCAAATGCTCACTACATGATTCTTTCAAAGATCCTGTGTGTAACTATTTTCCTTTAAAAATCCTGAAAATAATTTAAAAACGAAATGAGGCAAAAAAACCCATCTCCTAAAGCGAGAGCCCTTTCAGATCCTTTGAATCAAGGAAACTACAGCCCATCTCCGAGACCCTGAACTCTGCTTTCCGGGGTGACAACAATGGCTCAAAACTGGCACGGGGCATTCAATACTTTAAGAAGGGGTCCGGTCAAGGAGGGAAGGGTGGGGGGTCAAGTGGGGTCACTCAACCTGGGCCCACTTCAGAAGGTGGGAGCCATGGGAGGCAGACAACCTTCCGCCTGACACCTCTCAACCCCAGCACCGGCATTAGGCAGATGGCAGGGACCCAAAGGCTGGCAGCGGCAGGCGGGCAGTGAGCAGATTAAGGCCTGATCCTCTGTCCTCAGAGCCCCTGACCCATTTCTCTGCCAGAAAAGGAAGCAGCTGCAGCCACACAAGCAGAAGGGCAGAGAGGCTGTGGCCAACACAAGCCATACTTCACTTAATGCCCTATTTTTTTTTTCTTCTGGAGGGGGCAGCCAATGAGAACTGTGAAGAGTGACAAAAGCCATCGGGAAATGCATGAACAGAAAGCCACGTGGTTAATGTGTCAACCCCACGCGGTTTCTTACCAAAATAGTAAAAGTCAGCCCCCTCTCTACATCCCCCAGCCTAAGTTCTGAATAGCACGGACTCCATGGAGTCCGGAGCAGCCACCCGGAGGCAATCCACAAAGGCAGGGACGTTTCAGGAGCGGTGGCCTGAGGGCTATCCCGAGACCCTGCACCTGGGCACAGGGGCAGTGGGTCAAGTGCGAGGGGCCGCGATCTGAGGACGTCCCGGGATGAACAAACCGTCCTCGGGACAACAGGGGAGTCTCGCCAAGTTGAGGTCCACCCTGTCCTGGCCCAGCTGAGCCTGGAACCGGCTTCTTAAGGTCGGCGGCCTCTTGGCCAATGCGAGCAGAAACCTGGGGACTTGACCTCCTGTGCCTAAAACATCCCAGCTTGTTCTGAGACCCCCCCCACAAGGTGGTTCTTCTGCGGCCCCTCGGCCGTTGGGGGTCTTGGGGCTGGTGTTGGGGGGTCTTTCTAACTGGTCACCAGAGGCAGCCTGGGTTGCAGGGTCAGTATCATGCCTAAGGTACTTCCCAGGGCCGCCGGGCAAGGGGCGGAGAGGGGTCTGTGGGAGACCCGGGACGGGTAGGGACGGAAAGGGCAACAGGTGACAAGCCGCGACTGGAAGGAAGTTCTCCGCTGGGGGGCCGAGAGCAGCCTAGGCACCCCCAGAGTACGGCTGGTCCCCGGGTGGCACTTACAAGCTCGTGGGTCCACCGCTGGGCAGAACCGAAACTTTCTGGGGCCAAGCGGAAGACTGAGCGAGCGCGGCGTAGACGACCATGATACGCACACCCCGCCACAGGCGGGCGCAGACTACAATTCCCGGCATGCTCCGCAAGCCCGAGGCCTACAACGCCCACCAGCCCCACGAGTGGACGGGCGCAGACTACAACTCCCAGCATGCTCCGCAGAGTTGAGGTTTACAGCTCCGTCGGTCCACCTGGCCTGTGGGGTTAACCCTTGCAATCTCGCAAGCCTTTGTGTGCGCAAGCCGCGCGTCTGGGCTGTTTCTTGAAAGCAGAGCTGTCTATGCTTGACTTCTGAGAATTTGAAATGTGGCCAGTTTGAGTTGAGTTGTGCATGTATTTTAAGTAAAGAATACATCTGAATTCCAAAGACTTAGTACAAAAAAGAATGTAAAGTGAACATTTTTTATACTGATTACATGTTGAAATGATAATATTTTTAATATGTTGGACTAAATTAAAAAAAACATTACACATTGTTGGATCTAATGTCCCGTCTTTTGACCTCCCTCACTTCTTAACACAGGACTCTACTGAAAATCGGTGCTCCACAACTGCGTTCATGGATGAATTAACGTTCCTAACTTCTGCCCCACTCTCAGCCCAATTTCTATTCACAAGTTATATTTTTTAAGTTGCAAAGTGCTCTGAGACTGGACTCAATAGAGCAAAATGCATTCGTTGATATGGCTCTCTGCAATAATATCTGCTCTTAGAGTGTGTATGTGGGAAAGGTAATAACAAAATCATTGTTTTCTTGTTGATTCCCCAGGAGCGCTGTAGATGACACTTTGTCATACTTGGGTGTGATTAGCTGGGAGGTCTTGCCACCGAATAGATGGAGTTGTGGTTCCAACTGGGCTACTGCCCAATAGTGTAATCATGGCCAGGTCTCTTTTCTTCTTGGTGTCTGCTTCCTCACCAATAAAACGAGGAAGAGTGTTGTGAAGACTGAATGATATAATAGGTATGAAGTGTCCCCCAAATTCCTGGTACCCAGGGTGCACTTAAAAATAACAATAATAATGGTGATTATTATTATATGAATTCTGTTAACACACACCAGGTTGTAATCAGCAAGGCAGCTAAACAGTGCTTTTAGATTTTGCTATATTTTCTCCTTCACACAAGGGGAGAAGTTCAAAGGGCAGGGTACCACAAGCACATGTCCATTCCACATACTTAACTAAAAGGATTATCATGTGAATTAAAAAAAAAAAATCCCAAAGGATATTCTTCCAAAAGCAAACTTAGCTTCTGTGGGTCACACCCAAGGAAGTCACGAACATACAAAATTCCCCTCTCTGTAATAGTGCTTTGCTATATTGATTGGTTTTCCTACCTTAACCTTTTGAGTTAGTTCCTCTTTCATAACTGCTGTTAGTGTCTGGTGTACTAAATATTCAGTGGCTAGCACAGTACACTGATTCTGTGACATGTGTGTGCCAGGCACATAGCACAATGCCTGGCATGTAGTAGGTGCTCATCAAATATTTATTGAATGAGTGACCAAATGAATAAACACAGCAGATCCGGCTTCTCAAACTTGGCTCTACATTAGAACCACCTGGAGAGCTTTTCGAAATCTTGCTGCCTGGCAGCACCCCAGACCAATTGCATCAGAACCTGTGGGGTGGGACCCAGGCATCATCAGTATTTTTTGGAGCTCCCCATGGGATCTAGCATGCGGCCCAAACTGACAGCCACGCCCTGGATGTGGGAGTGTGACCTCTCAGAGCCATCTGCTCCGTCTAAGTGGAGAGACAGAAGCCTTGCAGGGTGGCTGTGAGATGTGGAAATGTATGGACCCAGCACAAAGTAGGTCTCAGTAGAAGTCGGTTCCCAATCTCCTGTCTTCATCTTTAGTTAGCTGCAGTCTTCTGTGTGGGCGAGGTAGATAATGAAACCTTACTGGGGGCGTCTGAGATGCACTGGAATTCCCCACACGCCCACTGGCATCTGTGCCCTGTGTTAGTTCTTTCAGGCTATGAGATCAAGGTGTTGACAGAGTTGGTTCCCTTTGCGGCTGCGAGGGACAATGTGTTCCATGACTGCCTCCGGCTTCTGGTGGTTGTTCTTTGCTATTCCCTGGCTTCTGGTAGGACAACCCCAATCTTCACACTGTGTTGTCCAGGTCAGTGTCCAAATTTTCCCTTTTTTAGAAAGACATCATCTTAACTCGTGGTATATGCGACTATCCTGTTTCCAGCTAAGGTCGCATTCAGAGGTACTGGGGGCACAGATGGACTTGAACATGTGAATTTGGAAGGAAGGCACAACTCGTACCATGTCCTAAGCTGATGAAGATGCAACCCATGACATTATAAGCCCATAGACTTTATTTTTTAATCATGGGAAGGGATCTTTGACATCACTGAGTTCAACCCCCTCCAGTGAAATTGAAACAAAACAAAACAAAACAAAACAAAAAAAAACTACCAAAAAAAATCTCTGAAGGAGGAAAAGTGCCTTACTTAAGGACCCAGCCAGAAAAGTGGGTGTAACTTCCTGTTGGGACCAAAATTTGTGGGTCCTCTAATTTTGAAATAAGCAGAAGATATTTTGAAGAATTAGCAATGTCTGGTGTTATTGTTTTTTAACTTATATTTTCTTTACTATTGGATGAGATCAGAGGCAGATTGTTGAACCAGTCATAACCAAAGTGGGGGGTGAACAGATACAGGCGGGTACTTCCTTCCCCAAACTCCCATAGTTCATTGCAAAGTTCCTTGGAATAGTTTCAGCGACAAGATTAAGGTGTGTATTCCCAGTTGTGTAGACAGTCAGGCCAGGTCGTTTTCTCTTAGTCCAGAGGGTTCATTCAGATTATCTGGAAAAAGGGCCAGGAATTCCCTGAAACTAGAGTAATCCTACGGAAACCTTTCTCCAAATGGGAATGACTAGAGGCCGACCAACTTTCGAGTAGGGTTAATTCATCTTTGCTGACTCCCTCCCCCCAACACAGGCTTCACACTGGCTTGGTACAGAGCAGGCTCTCCACAAATGAGACCAGGAACCACCTAGAGGTCTACATCTCCTCCTATCAGGCCCCTCTCTCACCTCTAATCCCTCTAATCATCCCATCTGTCGTCCATTTCTTCTAACTATGAATGATGCTCAAGACTGATCTTCTGAAATGGTTAAAGTCAAGGAATTGGACTATCTTTGTCTTCCTGTGGTCCCTCTTGCCACACTTCCTTTTGTAGAAACTGGGAGGTTGTCTGGAAGGTGACTGCAACAAACTCACACCTAAAATTTGGACCGGTCCATTCATGTTGGAGAGGCGAGCTCTGTACTCAGAATAATTTAGTGAGGAGTTAGGATAATCCCACTTCCCCTTCCCAAACTCCTCCCCAACCTGTGAAGTATCTCCTACCAGATCTTCAGGACACCTAAAATTCCCAGCAGGAAGCAGTATCATTCCTTCTGGTTGGAGGGCTGATCTCTGGAAGGTTCTTGTTCAGACACAGATGGATTGTGAAATAGAAAAAAAAGCACTGGACTTGGAGACAGAGCACATGGGTGTTAGGCCAGAGGAGAGACTGGAACAGAAAACCAAGCCACGGAGCACTCAGGGCAGACTCAGCCTCAGACCATTTTTGCTGAGACCTAAATGGAGCCAGTTTCCCACCATCCTGACATACCTGGGGCTTGTTGACGCATCCTGACACACTCTTTGTCCCCAATGCTTTTTCTGTATCCCTCCTTTCACCACCTCCAAATCCTAACCCAGTCCCCCCTACAAATAGAGAACTTTGAGGAGTCTTATGTAATAACCTTGGGTAGAAATTTATTTGTGCATATGATACAATGAAGCCTTCTGTTTTCATAAGATGATCGCAAGAGTAATTCATGTTAGTCTGCGGCTGAACGCTTTACAAAGCAAGTATTTTTACACACATGACTTCAAGCACACCTTTACTGTGTGGTTAGAGTCTGTCTTTGTGTTGTTGACATTTATAGAGTTTAACAGATGAGGACACTGGGGCTCTGAGAGACCCAAGGTCACAGTGAACGAGTAAAAGAACTTGGATTTGGGGTCTGGGTCCAGGGCTCACATGCCATCTGCGGATCTGTTCTACTGGGCTTCCCATACTTGGGGGTCTCTTTGTTGGCTTTCCCAAATGAAAGCCTTCGGGACTTCAACACACCAGGCCATGTCTGGGCTGGTGGGCTCAAGAGGAGAATTACGGGAAGCCCACAGGTGGTTCCGGGAGTTGACTGGAAGATGTAATATAAGCGAAGTATCAGAAGAGGAAATGGAAGTAGAAAAGAAAACAAAACAAAAGATGTCCTATTCACTTACTCCACCAACCACAAATAGTTCAGGGCACCAAGGAAGGTTCTAGACATGCAACACGGTTTGTGCTCTCAAGGAAGTTCCACTCTGGCCAGGGTCACTGGAGGTGGGGGGCTGCCCTGGGCTTGGAGGCCATCCCTATTTGGCAATCAGAAGGGATGCTCCCCTCTTGCTTTTGTTTGAGAACGTGGAGATGGAAATGCAGTGATGAGGGTCTTCCTTGGGTAGTGCTGGGGACTTTTTAGGCTCCAGGAGGGTAGGTCTGCAGCCCAGGGTCTGGGGCATCATTTTGCAACTGTTGGGAGAGTGATCGTCCCACAAGGGACTAGCCGAGGTTGGACAGTGGTTTCAGCGGGTGGAAGGAGGCGAAGGCAGGAGACTGGTGAGTGGAGGTTGCCACGCCCTCTTCCAACTCTGCTGTCTGACAAGGTCCGGGCATGGAGGACTCGAGTTCAAGGAATCTGTCTCCCGGAGGAGAACATGGCATCCAAAATGAGTTAACAATTGGCTGTTTTATTTTAATTATTTTACTCTTGCTACTGAGTATGGACATTGTACTGTACTTACTTATCTCTGTGAAAATCACCAAAGAGGAGGGAACAGTTCAGGGGAAAACATTAGTATTCCCCACGGAACTGCCAGAAAGGATGGACAAATCCCCACAGATTCTCCTCTCCCTTATACAGGGGAGTACGACAGCCAGGGTAATATCATTGTTAACCATAAGGGAAAACATGTCAAGTTGTATAAATTACCCTGGTTTGAGCAACTTAAAGCAATCAGGACCGCCATAGTGTACCAGAAATAAGAAAAACAAGTTACATGTTTGTTTGGGTGATCAAAAGGTGGTGGAATTGTTAGACACCTGTATTTCAGGTTCATTGATTTGCGTAATTCCAGTGAAGTTGTACAAAGTAATTTCTTGATCAGAGAACAAAGTTCCCTCTAATGAAATAGTCCCTGAATGTTTAGAAGTTGTTGAAGTAACAGCCCCTCCTTTACCTCGAATAAGAATATATATCAATTGGACAGGCAAAGAAATTAAAAAAGGGCTGGTTAACTATTACAAACTAAACACATAGAAACAGTTACTAGAGAGTCAGTTTATAGTACACAGAGAAACATTTTAGACAGAAAAGAATAGATAGCTCAATTAGACATCACAAAGGCCTTATAATAAATTTCCTATTACCTCTACTCAATCTAGCGCACCCTTTTGCCCCATGACAAATTCTGAGAAACTAATATACAATTAAGACATTCAAATTCTGTACTTACAGCTACTTCTAATTGCCTGATTAATGGCTCTCCTGGTCAAAATAATCTTTGTTTATTATAACTGAATCTATGAGAACTTTCATACTTTTCCTGGTTACCTTTGTATTGATTTTTTCTTCTTAACTGATCCTGCTATGCACCTGCAAATGTTAGTCACTACCTAAAATGAAAATATAAAAACCTGCTTGTACTTGCAATAAATAGAACAGAGCTTCACTGTCCTTTGAGGCGTGTTGTCGTCTGTTACCCAGCACCGATGCCTACCCTCACCTGTGGGACCCCTCGACCCGCTGCGGCTGGACCGCGGCAGGAGGGGGTGGTCAGAGATGTAGAGTGTGGTCCCTGGTCTCATCCACGCTCCCTTTCTGACAGGATGTCCCTCTATCTTCCCGTTTAGACCTCTCTGTCTCCATGCCTCTCCCCTTGGATTCTCCAGGAGCTGGATTAGGAGAGGACTCTTGGTTAAAGAGTCCTCTGAGAGCCGTTCTATTGGGAGTGCCAAAACATCACTAGGAGTGTAGAGAGATGAACATGATTGTATTTAGCTCTGACCCTGAAATCATCTCGCTGTCTCCTTCCTTTTGCTGTTTCTTCCATCCGTGGTGAGTGACGGCCCCATCTGCTGGTTAGCTAGTCCCTTCTCTGGTTCACTGCCCAGCCCTCTCCAGCAGGTGTTACTGACCTAATTCTTAAAATTAGACCCTCATTCTTCCCCAGCAAGGTCAAACTCCTCCAGGGCCAGCCATCCAGTGGCAACTGGATCATTGAAATTGTAGCTGGAAATGGAGGAGAAAACGCCATACAAGCTCTCTAGGCTCCAGCCCAGGGCAGTCTTCGTAGCTACTTTATTCAACAAGCATACATTGAGTGCCACAGCGACTCCGTGCAAAGTCCTGCTCAAGGATCTGTGGAAGATCCTGGAACTCCCACTTTTAAGGAGTTGCAGACAAATGTTTCCGCCCAGGGTGCACGTCTGGGTCAGGTCATCTGGGGAGCTTTTCCAAAGGTTTCACTGCGGAGCTGAATCAGGCTGACAGATCGGGACCAGATCTGTGTGTGTCGGAACATTTAGAGGGTGGCTTTCACCTCTGCCCTTGGATGTGAAGCTATGGAACCATGTGAGAGACAGGCATGTGTACCATGAACTAAAAAGCAAGGTCAAGTACAGTCATTGCCACAGAAAAGATTAAGCAATGTATTCTGAGTGTAGACTAGGAAAGAAAGGTTAATATCTATAGAGAAGAGGCCTGGGGAAAGGAAGCAGAAAGTGCCCCAGGGCACATCTCCCCAAAAAGCACAAATTAGAAGCAGAGTGACAGCTGTCATTCTTTGTTCCCACTTAGTACACTGGACAGAGCATCAGGGTCCCTGCTTGGCAGGGCATAGGACCAAGTTCCTGACCTCAGGCAGTTTGCAGTCTCCTGGGGAAGGGACATAAGCCATAACTATGACATGGGGTAGAAAGGACAAATAATATTTCTGAGGGGACAAGCAGAGTGCCACGCCAGCCCAGAGAATGCTCTCCTGATCTGAAGATTGAGGAGGGCTTTCTGAGGGAGCTGGGGTTTGTACATTAGGGAGCAGAAGGACAAGTGTGCAGGCCCCGGTGACAGCATGACAGAGGCCCAAAGGAAATTGGGAGAAGGATGTCCGGAAAAGGGTCCGTGGTCTTTTGGGGTTGGATCCCAAGCTACTAGGGGTGGGGACTTAGGGTGGAATGAGAATGGCAAAGTCAGTTGGCACTGGACTGTAGGGGCCTTGGAGCACTTGCTAAGGTGTTTGGCTTTATTTCTGTGTGATAAGGAGCCAGGAAGGGTTTTGAGCACCCTGATTTCAATGCAGAGGACACTGGTGGGGAAAGAGATGAACTGCAGGAAGACGCCGAGGAAGTGAGGCCATCTGGGGATGAATCTGTGGGCACACAATGGAAAGAACAACTCTGAGAGACCTTGGGGAGGCAGAGTCAATGGAACTTGGCCATGGGAGTGACAGGAGAGGACAGCAGGGCTTGAAGATGACTCGGGTTTGGAGGGTGAGTGACTGGAGTGGCAGCTGGTGCCATCAAGCAGGAGGAGAACATTTCAGGTGGAAAGTGGTGAATCCAAAGAGTCTGTTCAACATCCAGCTGGAGAGAGTGAGATGTTGGAGGCATCTGCACCTTAGGTGCCTTCGCCGAGGTGGGTGCTTACTTATCTGGGCCTTTGGAGCTGCACCGTTGGCACCTGGTGGGTAGCAGCTCTACCTTGTTTATCTTTATCTCCTCCAAACACATGCTTCCTGCAGAAGACAGTCTCTATCGCATTCATTTATTTCAATAAAAGACTTATGGACTAAACGTGCAAAGCCAGTTCATGTGCTAGAAATGGGCATTGGGATACAGAACACACCTCCAGTCCAGCTGTGGGCTTTTAGGTTCCAGACTTCGTTCTGACTGTGCTTATTTGAGACTAGGGTTACTTTCTGTCCCGCAGACAGTCTCATCCAGTTGCCACAGAGGAATACAGAACCCGTGCTCTCCAAAATCAGCTGGGACAACCCTACAGTCAGGAATGGCGGAGACCATCTTGCTGGCAGCCTTCAATTGCGCAACTATCACTCCTAGTGAGCTTCAGCCCCTCATCAGGTCTTGAAGAAGGTTCCTTTCAGGGAAGCCTTTCATGGTTTAGATTCATTTAAGAACCTTCTGAACTCAGCAATGATAAGAAATACAGGTCTATATGAATGCATCAATGAAAGAATGAACAATAAGCTCAGAATCCAAGAAATGTTTTTCTTAAGGGCCACATAAAATTTCCGGGCATGAGCCACTTTTCTGCAGAAGCAGGGGTGTGTGGGGCAGCCCGGCGTGATGTAGTCCTTTCGCCCCCACCCCTACAGCTGGTAGCATCGCCAGTGCTGTGCCTTCTGCAGTGCTCCTTTCTGCACCCCCCCTCTTTGCTCCCACCCCGGCTCCTCTGTCCACCTCAACCTGCAGCACCACCCTCTTTTAATAGAAGGAGGCACCCTCAGAGTGGAAGGCACGTGGGGAGTGAGGCGGTGAGGAAGGGCTGGGTGCCTGTGATTGGCAGAGCCAGAAGTTCTGGAGCAGACTTTTGAGGTGTCTGCGGAACTTGACGCCCACGAAGACATAGAGCACTGGGTTGAAGCAGCAGTGGGAGAAGGCGAAGTTGCGGCAGATGAGCAAGGCATAATGCAGCTTCTCGATGACCGTGCAGCTCTGAATGACGTTCTGTTTCTGCAGTGCCTGCAGAAACAGGACCAGGTTGTAGGGAGCCCAGCTGATGAAGTGTGCCAGCACAATGGTGAGGATGAGCCTGACTGTCCGGTGGTGCCGCTTGGACCGGGAGCGGAACAGGGTCCTGAGAATCTCCACGTAGCAGAACAGGATGACCCCCATGGAGAGCAGGAAGAAGATGATGTGCTGGTAGGCCGAGGCTAGGAACCACTTGATTTCGGCATAATCACACCTTGACGTTTCTAGATCATTGAACACTTTGTGGAACATGGTATCAGGGACAGAGGACAGGATGCTGGCTACCCACACAGCTGTGGTCACCAGCACACGACATCGGAGGGTGTGGACCCGCAGGGACGAAAGGGGGGTCACCACAGACTGGTAGCGGAGCATGGTCATGATTGTCAGGAAGAAGATGCTGCTAAAGAGGCTGGTGGAGAACATCATGTTGGAGAGTTTGCAGAAGAAATCTCCCAGCACCCAGCCCCAGTGGTACCCCAAGGTCCACAGAGGCAACAGGCAGGCGAACACCAGGTCTGAGAGGCACAGGTTGAGGATGAAAACATTGGTGAGGGAGTCCAGGCTCTCGTACTTCACCAGGACCCACAGCACCAAGCTGTTGCCCACCAGGCTGAGGAGGAACACCAGCGAGTGCAGGATGGTGGTGTTAAAGACAGCAAAGGTAGAGGTCTGCGGCTCGCACAGAAAGCTGTCAGGATCATAATCCACAGGAGTGACAGACTCTGGGATGTCTGAGGGCTCCATCTAGAGGCTGGGAGCGTCTGAAAGGACACAGACATGGAGTTTAAAGCCATGTGGTTGGGCTAGAGCACAGGAGCACTTGTGTTACGGACATGGGTGGTCCACAGACCCGCTGCCGGTTGGTGAATTATTTGTAGTAAGATTAGAAACTTTCACCAGCACATGGAGTCATTAAACATACTCTAGTGTGCTTAGCACTTTTTGCTTAGCAAGATTTTCTTGATGAAGAAAGAAGTGAATGAATTCACATCCTGTCATAAGTCCCTTTTCTCCTTGAAGATTGGTATTTGAGTAGCACTAAGCTAGACCGGTCTCCTAGGTGCTGGAAAAAGAAGTGGAACTGGATTCAAAGATGTGAGATCAAATTCTGGCTCCATTACTGGGTTCCTGAGCAAGCTACTGAATCTTTCTGAAACTTAGGTCCTCATTTCTAATGCAGAGCTAAGGAGGCCACAGTCACGTCGTAATTTATTCAACAAACATCTAGTGAGCACTCACTATGTCTGCCATCTCCCTCCCTCCTTCTCTCCCTTTTTTATTTCCTCCCATCCGATGTTGACGTCCCAATGGCAGGATTGTTTGAAAAACCTTGCTGTCTCCTGGAGCAGGCTCAAACAGACACGACACAAATGGAGCACCACTCTCTCCTAGGAGAGGGCTAGAGAGCAAGAGCCCCAAGTTCTGTGCGGACCTCCATCGTAGAGATGCTTGGCTGGCTGTTCCACCACGCATGCGCCAGTGCGAGCTAAAAGAACCGAACTTTTGGGCTGCTGCCTGCGTCACGGGGGTCAAAGGTGAGAGGTGAGCCAGCCACCTTCACTGTCTACTACAAAGCAGCAACATACAATCAATACTTATCAGAAGAATAAAACAGAATTCAGTCTCCACAACACAGCTTTTATGATATTCAGGATACAGTACAGAATTACTCAGCTTATGAAGAAATAAGAAAATATGGCCCATATTCAGAACAAAACATAGAAAGTGACTGTGAGATGACCTGGATGTTAGACTTTGCAAAAAGGCTGAAACCGCAACTATTATAACAATGCTCAAGGATAGAAAGGAGAAATATGCATAGTGAATGAAAAGGTAAGGAATTTCAGAAGAAAAAAAATCTTGTAAAAAATCCAAAAGGAATTAGAAATCAATAACAATAAGATATGTAGAAAAGCCTCAATAATGTGGAAGTACAACTCCCAAAAAAAATCTATGAGTCAAAGAAGAAATCACAAGGCAAATTGTAAAATACAGGGTCCAGCAGAAATAATGGTGCTAGAGTATGATTGGGAGGGTAATAATACGGGTGTAATAAATTACAGTTTTCACTTGAACATTTCATCTAAAATGTCACATGGTGTGCTTCAGTGTGATATTGTTATGGTACAGAACTGCATGCTTATGATTTTGTAATACAAGATTTTGTAATGAGAGGGGGGCGTTATTTGTGCCAGACCCCTGATATTTTTGAACTGAGTAATAATGAAAATAGCACACATCAGAATTAACGGGAGGCAACTAAAACGGCGCTTGGAGAAAATGTCACAGCTTTAAGTGCTTTAATTAGAAAGAAGAGAGTCTAAAACTAGTGATCTAAAAGGCGTGACTCAGACACCAGAAAGAGAAGGACAAGCTGAACCCAGAGTAAGTCGAAGGAAGGAAGTAAAGGTAAAGCCAGACACACAGAAGTAGAAAATAAAACAGAGGGAAGATGTGCAGAACAAAGCTGGCTGTTGAGTAAGCATCTGTAATGGCACTGAAACTCCAGCTAGACTGACTGCAAATAGGAGGAGAACGGAAACTTTCAGCAGCAGACGAAAGCGAAGCCATCGCTGCAGAGCCCACTGCCTTCAGAAGAATACGGATGAAATAGCGCTTTAATTTTATCTTAGCAGATTCACCAGCTTCAGTGAAGTGGGAAAAAGCTTTTAAAATGTCCAGTTTACCCAAACTGATCTGAAATGATATGGCAGACTGAAGCAGCCTGCGTTTCATCGTAGAGATTTAGTGAACTATGAAGAAAAACTTTCCCACCAAGAAGACCCCAGAACTACATGGCTTCTCTAGTGAATTCTGTCAAACATTTAGGGAAGAGATGACACCAATCTTATATAAGCTATCCAAACTATCAGACAGAATCCTTCCCAACCTGTTCTGTGAGGCCAGCACCATCCTGATACCAAGATCAGATAAAAATATTGCAATAAACAAACAACAGCTACAGACCAAAAATCCTTCATGAACAAAGAAACAAAACCCCTGACCACCAAGTCCAGCGACACATTTAACAGGAATACTACACCCTGACCAAGTGGTGTTTATCCTGGAAATACAAAATTGGTTTAATATTTGAAAAAATCGAGAAAAATGTAACATTAAAAGGAACTCACCTATATCTACGCCTCTTTACACAGGTCTCAAGGCAGAAATCGTGCTTCCCTATTTTGCTCAGAGAAACTGCAACACCTGCTCTGCCCAGGAGGCTGGGGGAAGGTGAGTAAGGCTGCTGTACCTGCTGACAGACAGAGTCTACTAATCCCTCCTCTTCCCACCAGCAGCCTTCCCGGTTTGACCCACCCGCACAACCCCTACTGCCCTCCTAGCGCCCTCGTTAGCATCCGGCTCCGGTGATCGCTGCTCACAGAGAAGAGCCTGCACTCAGTCAGTCTCCGTGGATGGGTGGGGTCAGCAACATAGGGGGCATCTGAGCCCTGGGTTCCACCAACGGTAGATTCAAGTAATTTTGGAGTTAAAAGGGATGTTCAAGGATGATGTACTTTTTTTAATTTCTATTTTTATTTTATCAAACATTCTATTGGATTAATGTACCAGTTATATATACTCATGATTGGTTTAGATTGGGATAAAATTCATGTAACGTAAGATTTACTATTTCAAATTGTAGAATTCAGAAGTTTTTAGCATAGCCACAGTATTAAGGTATGGTCATCATTACTATCCAATTCCAGAGCATTCCCATCACCGCCCCCTCCCCCAGAGAAATCCCAGGCTTGTTAGTCATCAATCCCACTCCCCAGCCCTCACCCCCAGCCTCCAGCCCCTGGCAGGCACTAAATTACTTCCTGTCTGTGTGGCTTTGTCTATTCTGGACATTTCATGTTAATGGAACCATGGACCACGTAACCTCCTCTGTCTGGCTCCTTTCACTCAGCACAGTGTTGTGAAGGCTTGACCTGCTGTGGCACATGTCAGGGCTTTATTCCTTTTCGTGGCTGATAGCCAATGAAGTAACGCAGTTGAATGGATCCATGGTTTGGTGAAACCACATCTCACATGTCCACTCAGCCAGGGGACGTTGGGGTTGCTTTCACTTTTTGGCTATTATGAATAATCCTGCTCAGAACATTCATGTCCACGCTTTACATGGACAGAGACTTTTGATTATCTTGGGTATACACCCAGAAGTAAAATTTCTGGGTTGTATGGTAACTCTTCGAGGAATTAACAGTTTTCCATGGAGCTGCACCGTTTTACTTTCTTACTAGTTCACTAGGAGTTTCTATGACTCCCCATATTTACCAACACTTGTTAGTTTCCTTTCTTTTTTTTTTAAATGTAGGGTATGAAATGGTAACTCATTATGATTTATATTCATATTTCCTTAATAAATCACAATGTTGAGTATCTTTCCATGTGCCTATTGGTCATTTGGTTGTTTTGGGTTTTTTTGTTTGTTTGTTTGTTTTTTTGAGAAGTATCTGTTCAGAACCTTTGCCTTTTAAAATTTGGGCTTCTCTGGGTTTTTATTATTAAATTGTAAGTGTTGCTTTATATATTCTGGACAGTAGTCTCTGATCAAATATGTGATTTGCAAATGACTTTTCCAAGTTTGGTTCCTTTTTAATTTGTTGGTAGCGTCCTTTCACACACAATTTTTCATTTTGGTAAAAGGTAAATTTAGAAATTGTTTTTGTTTCTTGTGGTTGTGGTGTCGTGTTTAGAAACTGTTGTCCAACTCGAAGCCGCAGAGATTTGCAACTATCTTGGCTAAAGTGTTTCAGTTTTAGCTCTGACCTCTAAATTATATTCAAATTAGATTCCACTCTTCTCTAGGTCTGTCCTTTGGCCAACTTTACACTGTTCTGATTTCTGTAACTCTGCAGTAAGTTTTGAAGTCAGGAAGTATGCGTTCTCAAATTTTGTTCTTTTTTTTCTATTTAAGATTGTAAATGTAGATAGGTTTTCCTATCTATAAGTGGTTTCAACAAGGGTGCCAAGACCACTGGGGGGGGGGTGGAAGACTAGCCTTTTTAGCAAATGGTGCAGAGACAGACTGTTAAACACACACTACACATGCTGGATCTTGAAATGACGCCGGATGAGGGAAGCGAGAAAGAGGATCCGCGGTGTGATTCCATTTATATAACATTATAAGAAAGTGAAATTAATCTACAGTGACAGAAATCAGACCCATGGTTGCCTGGGTGGCATATCTCTGTTGCCACATCACATCTGACATGTGTTCTTAACCAGATACTTACAAAGGCAAAGTTCTAGGTCACTATCCATGTATTTGATACCTTAGGACACGTTAGTCACACTAGGGTGTATAATGAGTGATGTTGGCCGGTGACCCTCCAGTGTCCTAGAGGAAGGACATAAAGAGAAGGAGTAGCTCAGGGCTTCAGATTGTCAGGTCATGCTCTGCCTAAACTTCTGTGTCTGTCCTTAAAGAAATCCTATCTCCTGTAGCTACCAGGCTGAAATTTCTGGAAGCCAAAACACCTCTCAGCCTGCCGTGGCGGAATTATAGTGCAAATGAAATCCACAGGCTTGCAGTGTGTCTTCTCATCAAGTGAGGGCATTGACTGGGGGATAAAAAAATCCTGAAAATTGGAACGGGAACATACAGGAAGATCCCAAGGAAGCTGGGGGTGGAGAACCCCTAAGTTGCCAGTAGAAGCAGCCCTCCCACCTCCATGTGTCCCGCCAGGCCATCACCTGGAGGTGTTTTATATGAGGCTGGGACCAAGCAGACCCCGAAAGCACTGGTAAGTGAGGTGAGGAAGTGACCCGAAGGCCCATGGCTCTTGCTCTTGCTGCACCGCCTCTTTCTCACTCCCATCCCACACACCTTGCCCTCCTGAGTGCAGGTGGATGAGGAGAGTCACACTCATGCCTGGTTTGCAGATGGCCCTGCGTGACCTGCGGACACCACCCAAAAGTGCCCCACTGGAGGACGGCAGTGTCTTTCTGGCACATCCCCGAAGACGGTCGGGTGGAGTGGAGGGAAATCCATCAGCGGGCAGCATGCTGAGTGCCACACCGGTTGTTCACCTGCTCGGAAAGGGCGACGGGCACCCCCACTCTTGGGCACGTCACGGAGAGGCAGCCTCCGCTTCCAGGCTCGCCGATCTCAGCTGCACAGCCAGGTTTGCTGGCGGATTCTGGAGGGAAATCTCAGTTCCCAATTCCCAGATTCAGGGACTGAGAGGAGAGGGTCCCTTTCACTTTTATTTACTTCTACGTAACCTGTGGCTTACGGTTCCCACTTCTAGCAAAAAAGAGGAAAGGTGCCCGGTCACTTTCACTTCCACTTGACTGAGGTCCAAGTACCTCTGACCACTGTGGCCTGCAAGAGTCTTGTTTCTCGGTCAGCTTTATTGAACTGTGTGTCAGTCAGCATTCTGCCAGAGAAAGGGAACCAGTAGCATTTAAAAATATATACATATTATACATATACGATATTTAGATATATTATGAAGTATCTATTTGTATACAAATATACCCATATAATTTATATAATATAAATTGTGTATACATTTATCTAATATATATGTATAATCTATATAATATAAATTGTAGGTATATACATTTACAAATATATATGTATAATCTATATAATATAAATTGTAGGTATATACATTTACAAATATATATATATTATAGATACATTTATAATAACATGTATGCACACATTTACGGTTGATGCAGACACCAGCCCACAGTGTCTGCAGTGTTATGGATGAGACGAGACAAATTCACATGGACTACTGAGTCCTGTGGAGAAAAAGGGACAGTACAGCCACTCTCTCAAGGGGAGAGCGCCCTGACCCTCGCCTTGACAGGCTTTTATTGGCTTTCTACTAGCATACATCAAAGAAGGTTCTCATTCATTATATTTAGATTTGCTTTAGGTAATTACCTTTTACAAATAGCAAAGGAAAGGATGTTACTGATTACTTCCCACAGATTAACAAGGAAAAAATGTTGCAAATGCAAGGGACCACTAAGAGTAATAGATCTGGTTACACTTTAATCCCTGGGAGAATTGACACAGACTTCGGGAAGTTACTTTAAAGATATATAGTAAGCATTTTCTGCCTCAATTCAGGATGAAGAGTTTTAGCAAGAGTAAGTCTCAAAACAGCCTAGGTACAATGCAGTCCTGATTTCCCACGGGAGAACCGACTTGGCTGGTTTGGTGTCCTGTGTGCCACCACGCCCCCATGGGCTTTCCCATAGGGCCGAGCTACATTTGCCAGTCCACGTGGATAGGTTCCCTATGTACAATAACAAAGTCAGACTTCTACCTAACGTGGTATGACTGCTGCATACAACTGCAAACATGCTAACCTTTTCCCAGATGGGTTGCAAAGTTCTTGAGCGATATGCATTTTTTTCCTGGATATCCAGTAACTTGAATACATATGCGAAGTTATTTGTTATGAATATATTTTATGTTTGAGGATAAGGGGGAAGAAACATTTATTTGCCGAATACATGTGTATATAGACATGCTCATGACAAAATAAGGAAGAGATTCTCTTCACTGTTATAGTTCTCAGTTTGGCATCCGACCAGGTGGCCATAGCTGGTATTGTAGTTACCTGCCCCCACTACCCATTCCATAGGCTCACTGCTCTCCGCAAACACCTTAGCTGGTCATGGTTCTTTGACTAATGGGCAATCCAAGCGTTCACTCCTAAAACCTGAACCATTAGCACTTCAGCAGGTGGTCCTAAGAAACACCCTAAGGAATCGCCCGTATTCCAGACACTTTCACACTTATATTGTGGAGTGGAGTGGCCGGTCAGTTTCCCTGGGCCATCAGGGTTGACCCCGGCAGCCAGCCCAGCAGCTCCCTTCTTTGCCCATTGATACAGAGGCAAAAGGGGCCCAAAGTGTCCGGATGGCTGTCTTAACTTCTGGTTTCATGGAATTTTCTCCTGGTGGAAGCATTCCTACCTTGGCAAACAAGACCACAAGATGAGCAGAGCACAGGGTTAGGGGAGTAAGAGGCAAACGTTCTGCTGATGAATCACTAGGGGTAAGAGTGGGTGGTGCTACTCTCACTTCTACCCTTTGATTCCTGGGCCGGTGACTCCTGGCCACGGGAGGAAGAGCACCATATACTGGGCACTGATTTTCAGCATCTTGGAGGCACGCCACCAGGCGTTGCCAGCTGGCTGGCATCACAACTGGGTCTTTAAAAAGGGCCTTTCCATTGTTCTGTCAAGCCAGCAGCTTTAGGGGAACATGGTAAAACTAGCAAACTCCACGGACACGGGCACAT